GGCCCCTACGCCGACGCCGCCTCCAAGAGCCGGGGGGCCCAGAACACCGCGGTCTCTCCACGTCTTCCGTGCTCCTCAAAGGAATCTTTCGGCACCAAGCGGCCTATAGCACTGGTGTTTTCTTGCGTAGCCGCTTCGCTCGCCTTCGCTCGCCTCGCTTCGAGGCTACTTGAGGCCAGAGACGGCGCAGGCCGCGGAGGGCCAAAAATTTGGCCGGATCAGAGTTCAGAGACCTGAGAGGGCATCTTCGTGAACTACAAGCAGGCGAAGAACACGCAGACACCCGGGCCTTCTGGGCCGTGTGCCGCGCTTCCCGCCCCTCTGTCAAGGTGACCTACGTGATGCGCCAGAAGGTTCCCTTCGGCATCGCTCAGATCGGCAAGGCTTTCCGCAACGAGATCACTCCAAGGCCTGCGAAGTTGCCCCCTCTGCAGCGGCACATCTGCAGCGTGGCCCCTCAGAAGGCAATTCCTCTTCCGGTCACGGGAGTTCGAGCAGATGGAGATCGAGTACTTCATCGATCCCGAGGAGACCAAGAGTCGAGAGAGCTCTTCTCCGGGCCGGCTCCTTTCCGAGGCGGACTTCCGGCAGATCCAGGAAGAATGGATCCAGGAGATGTGGAACTTCCTGAAGGAGCACCCGTACCCTTCGCTCTCTCTCTCGCTCTCTCTCTCTCTCTCTCTCTCTGCACTCTCTCCCTCGCCCTCTCTTTCAGGCGGTGGGCCTCAATGAGTCCCTGATGGACCGGGAGGCGGGGCGGGAACCTCCGCGAGCCGCACAGCGTGGCACCAGCGAGGTGCACGAGGGAGCGAAGCTGGCGCACTACGCGAGGGCCTGCACGGACATCGTCTTCCGGTGCCCGCTATGAAAGTGCTCTTCACGACTTCGTTCAGCCCCCAAGAGTGTGAAGTTACCGGCCCAGAAATCTGCAGGTTCTCTCCGTGCGTTTGACGGACGAAGGGTGTATGGGGTGATCGCTCAAGGTATCCATTCGGCACCCAAGAGCTCTTGGGCGTTGCTGCTCGCGGCGAGTGCTCCTGAAGCGAGACTGTTTGCATCGCTGCACACGATCGCTGCTGCTTCATTTCCCGTCTTTAAAGAGTGGGATGCACGGGAGCCCTCTCCAGCCGCGTACGTGGGTTCAACGAAGGGAGGCGAAATGCTTTTTCGGAGTGCTTTTGAGTCCAGGAAGCATCTCTGACGCGAGAGGTACGACCTGCAGCAGCACGCCAAGGCCAGCGGCCAGGCCATGGAGTACCAGGCCGCTGTCGCTTCGCGCTTTTCTGCCCGTGGGGAGCCCGCGCTTGTTCTTCCGTCCTGCTCAAAGAAAAAGGATGAGAGGGGAGGATAGGGGAGGGGTGGGGCCCTAGATAGTCCGCGATGGCGAAGCTCTGGCCTCAAACAACGCAAGCGGCTTCTGCGCTTTCCTCCTGATCAGAGGCCCATCGTGATAAGCCTGAAGCGGCGTTTGGGGGAGGCGGAAGGCGGCGGGCCGTCGACGGAGATCGCAAGAACAGTGCATCCAGAGCAGAGTCTCAGAGGCGACTCGGAAGTCGCAGAGCGGGCCTCGAGCTCCAGGCGCGTCTATAAACAGAGCCCACCGCGGCAGTACCGCACCGTCGCAAGAAAAGGCTGCAGGCTCCGTGTCTTTTAGAGGCGCGCCAGGACGGGCGGGCGCCCGGGCCTGGAGGCGGAGCTGCGCGGGGCCTCGCTGGCGCTCTGCCGAAGCCTCTGGGAGCGAGTGGAGCGCTTCAAGGCCCATAGACGCCCTTTTCTCCGGTCTGAGTCAGAGTCTCGGCTCGCTCGGCTCGTCGGCTCTTGGAACAGGACCAGCTGGAGACGTGGCTGGAGGCGCGCCGCCGCCCACCGCACAAGCGCAGCAAAGGCGCGGAGACTGCGCGTTTGCTGGGGCGCAGGCCGAGCTGGAGCAGCTTGCGCCGCCGGAAGGTCGCGAGGAGGCCCCCCGGCTGCTTCAAAGCGCGGCTGAGAAGTTCGCGTTCTTAGCCGCGTGCACAAAAAAATTGGCAGAGGTGGCGGCGGAGGTTTTCGAAGTGCTCGGCCTGGAAGGCCTTCCCCCCCCCCCCCCCAAACGAAAGGCGCTGACCTCTCCTTCTGCTGAGTTTGGAAGGCGACGCCAGGCGAGGGCCGAGAGCCGAGCTGTGTGCGCGACGCGGCCCTTCCGTTCTGTGTCTAAACTCTGCCAGCTTGGTTGCGGCGGTTCGAAGGCTGAAGCAGCAGGCAGAGACGTTTCCAGAGAGCACTGAGATTCTCTCCAAAAACCTTCTCTGCGAGGTGGACGCGGACAAGAAGGCGCGGAGTGCCGCAACGCAATGCGCAGGGCGCGGCCCGTTGCTCTGCACTGGGCGTGGGAGGCCTTCTCCGAGCTTGCCGCCGGCACCTCGTTAGCCACGCGTTGCATGCGCTCTGCCTGCGCTCTGCATGCGCCTCTGCACTTTTTGCACCGAGGCCTTTCTGAAAGTCTTCGCCGCGAGCCGGCAGCTGAAGCTCCCGCAGAAGGAGGTCGACCAAAGGCAAGGGCTTAACTTAGGCGGCAACGGAGCCTCTCTGGCAGGTGCCGGCGCAGCTGGAGAGCCTCCTGGCAGCCCTCGAGGCCCCCTGCCAGCGCGCAGAAAGCTCCGGCCCCGCATGGCCTGTCCCTTTTTTTTTAACCTGGGATCTTGAGGAGCAGAGCGATGCCAGCGGTGCCTGACGCAGAGCGGGATGCGGCCGTCACTTCGCGGAGACCAAAGGAAAAGACGAGCGCCTTCCGCGCCTTTTTTTGCGATGACGGCGCGGTTGGTCAAAAGGAGGCGGCGGCCTTTTTTTTGCCGGGCAGGTGCCGGGGCAGAAGCGGAAGTTCGTGCCGCATGTCATCGAACCCTCCTTGGGTGCGCGCGGGGAGTGCCTGCTGCAGGGAGTCACAGAGAGGCAGAGTCCGAACCTGTCGGGGACCTGCCAGGAGTCGACCGGCTCTTCTTGGCACTGCTCTGCAGCGCCTACGACGAGGACGTCGTGGACAAGGAGTCGCGCTCCTTGCTGAGGCCAGGGAGAGCGACGCCTCCGTTTGGCAGCAGCTCTCGGGGCAGGTTCCATCCCTGCGTGGCGCCCATCACCTGCGCGGTCTTCCCGCTCATGAAGAAGCCCCCCGCACTGGCCGAGAAGGCGGAGGGGGGGGGGGGAAAAGGAAGAAGAGCGGAGAAAGGTGGTGCTAGCGGAGCTCCCTCCCAAAGCCTCGTCGCTCTCCCTCTCTTCGTCTTTTTGTCTTTCCGAGCTTCGGAGGCCAAGGCTTTGGCAGCACGGCTCCGGCAGCGCGGCTGGAACGTCCTCTACGACGAGGCGCCGCTGCGTGCAGCGCAGGGCCGCGGGGCTTTCTGCTTTTGTTAAAATCCGTTGCTCCTTGCGTCGAGGCTGGAAGCATCGGGAAGCGCTACCGGCGCATGGACGAGGCAGAGAAAAAGAGGGCGCCGGCGACCTCAGGAATCCTGGCGCTCTGATGCTGAGAGGTTGGGACACCCTTCTGCTGCACCGTGGACTTCGACACTTTGGAGGAGAGCGGCGCGACTACACGACCTGCCTTCAACCGCTCTGCTACAGGACGACACGGTGACAGTGCGGCGCCGGGACGACCCCCTCGAGGCCCGAAGAGGGGTCCAGAGGGCCACTGTCCAAAGAGACTCTGCTCGTCGCAACGGGGTACTCGCACCAAGCAAAGTTTAAAGGCTCCACACCATAGGTCGGAAACTCATGGAAGCTCTCTTTTTGGTTGCCGCTGCAATGAAAGACTGGGCTTCCAGCATCCCAGGTCCAGCCCCAAAGCGCCCCTCAGCCCCGACTTGCAGTCGCAGAGGTTACCCGGATGCCTTGCGACTCCATCGCGATGTTTCTGGACGACGAGTGCTCCTCGACTCGGCTGGGCTAAGAAAGGGAAGGGCAGCTGCGGCCACGATTTCGCCAGGCCAGCTGCCGATGTGAGATGCGGGGCCCGGAAGCATTGTGTTGAAAAAGCTCCGCGCAGATCCGCGCACACTGAGAGTCCTCGAGCCGGACGTCTTGAGAGACTCAGATCCGCTGCATGCTTCAGGGCTCAGAAGGGGCGGCTGTCGGCAGATAGAGTAGGAGCCTTTTGGGAGGATGGCCGTCCATCCGCGCCCGGTGCTCGGCGTGTGACGGCGGGGGTGCAGACGCTTTTTCGCATCGCAGTCGCATCTGCGCGCATCTGCGAGGTCCGTTGCGAGCGGCGAGGCCCCTCTTCGGCCTTTTGCTGGCCGAGCAAAAGGCCGCAGCTGGCAGAGTCTGCCGCCGTCTGCCGCCGCTGACAGGTTCGGTGTGGCCCTCGCGGCCTTGGCCGTGCTCAAGCTGCAGAAGCCCCAGAGAAGCGCCGGTAGCGACCCCCCATCTCGTCGCCTTGACAACTCCTTCCTGGTCTTCGTTTCGGTCAATTCCAGCTTTTCAACGTCTTGTTTCTAGGTGAGGACACTTCGGATACGAAGCCTTCGGCAAGATTGAGAGTTTTAAAGTGGCAGGTACTATGTTACTACGCTCGCAACTATAGCCATAGGACGGATGTTTGCAATGCGCCCTGCATGCCCTGCCCGGTGCCTGTTCGCCTCCGAGGTCCTTCGTGGGTGTCGTGAGCCCACGAAGATCTGTGAAGCCTGTAGTCCGTCGAGGAGAAGGCCCCATCTGAGGCCCTTGTCAGATCTTCGACGGGTTCGGTCTCAAAGGTTTCGACGCTGCCACCGCAACCCCCAAGGCAAGGGGAAGTGCTGAGAGTCAGACTACGTAGTCGCGACGTAGTCTGGCTTCACTTGAGCCTTCGCTGTGGTCGTTTACGTCTTGGTGAACAGGTGAAGTCGACTATCAGCCGGGAGCAGTTGGAGCGGGACTGCAAAATCAAAATGAGGGAGGGTCCCTCATCGCGCTGCCCCTCCTTCAGCCACCCTCCGACATCATGACATGGGGCCATGGGGCAGCTGTTGGAACTGTTGTCAAGGTCTCGTTCGCACCCGAACCGAAATACAGTTAAACATCTAGAATCTACGCAGTACTGGAAGCTGTGTTACAGTTGCATGTGAAATGCACAGGGAAGCCTTGTGAACGACACGTCGTCGTATAGGCTCAAACAGGACACGCACCGCAGCGAGCCCAGCAAAAGTGTGGCGTGCCATAGCTTGTCAGGACCTTTCAGAGAGTCACGTTCTTTAACATGGTAACGGAGCGGCCAGTTCAGGAGACAGTGGAACCAAAGGCAGCGATAATACTAGTGATGACAGGAACCATGATGTTCCTCGCCACAGGAGTGTGCCTCGTCTCCGTGTGGAAGCAGATGTGGGGCCAGGAAAGACCTCCCCATTCTCAGGAGAACAGGAACGCGATATCACCGAAGGAACTGTGGGCGCGTCAGGACCCATTCGATCGCAGGTGGCACAGCCAAGGACTGTGGCCCGCGCCACGATTGCTTCCCGGAGCGCCGGTCCAGGAAGTCAAGAAAAAGGAACTTGAGATGGTACAGTCTGGCAGCCTGTGCGGTGCTGCTGGTTGCCTTGGTTTTGGGGAGCCTCGCAACCTTGTGCGGGATGATCTTGGCTCCAGGAAGATAGCCGTGGCAGGCCCTTGGACCAGGACACGCAAAGGAACTACTACGCGTACTCCGTGATCTATATGACTTCAGGAACACGTACCCGATCAGGAACAAAAGCGGGTACAGGATCAAGGACTACATGTACATTGGAAAGGTGCTGTTACCGTTCTTTGTGAAGTGCTTGATCCTCGAGTACTTGAACCCTTTTGATGTGACGAACACCCTTAGGACTGATTACTTGGATCATCCTAGCGTGCTTTTCTTGTTCTTTGTAGCAGTGCAAAACCAAAGAAGGAAAGCTCAGGAAAGCAAAAGAAGGAGCAGGAACAGGAAGGTTGAAGTGAAAAGGAAGTACATGAATGGAGGATACGTTACAGAAGCTAGCAGACATCAACCAGCTAACGCTCCAGGGAATACAAGCATTTGCAGCCGAGATGAGGAACATTGCAGCAGCAAGCACAGAGCGAGAGCAGAACATGGTCAAAGGATTTGCTAACACTTTGCAGGCAACGCAGCAACACACATGAAGCGTGCGTGGACCCAGCCCTTGGCAGTCCTTGACTCTTGGCCGGGTCCTGAGATACCTGACATTAACACACTTCATTGACATATTTCCCGAGGCTACTGGATGGAGAGAGTCACCTTGCTACACTCTTGGTCGAGAAGGTCGTTGTTGGTGTCGGTTGGTGGACCCAGCCCTTGGCAGTCGTTGACTCTTGGCCGGGTACTCAAAGTGCATGTTGCAGCAGCAGCTAAACCTAATGTACCCAGCAACGACAACACACCTCACAGGTAGTTCGGTCATGGAGATCTGCTGGTTAGGAACTTACCTAACGTCACACTATTCCTTGCAGTGTGCATTTTTTCTGCCCTGACTTGGTGATTTGCACATGACTTACCATTGATTTTGCTTGTCTCAAGTCAAGTTGCCTGAAAACATATTACAGCCTGATTGACACTCTTGCTTTTAAGCACTTTAACTATGGCCTGCCTGAGCACATCCCGGTAGCACTTCGTTAGAAGAACATCTTGACACAGCCTGCCTTTGCCCCGATGCCGCGGAGGCATACAGACAAGTCCTTTGGACTGAAACGTGCTCCTTGAAGATACGGCCTGTTGTGTGCCTATGCCTCCCAGCATGGTGTACTGGATGCTTCAGGGCGACTGAGGAAGAAGACAATGGTCCGAACAAGGTCAGCCATCCAACTTCGCTGGGGATACAGTGAAGAACCACAGGTAAGATCAATCATGGAATCAGAAGGCAACAGAGCTGTCTGACAAGGTAGCCCAGAAACGTCAACAAGCCACTCCTGAGAAAGGGATTGAGTTGGGGTTTCAGATGCTTGAGGACACCGTCGATCCACATCACAGTCTGCTTTTAATCGGCAAGGCCAGATCCGGGTGGCTCAGGGTAAGCTTGGGTTTGGGACATATGCTACATGCCTACAAGTCATGGATCCCGTGACTCAGGCTGAGTTTGCTGTCAAGGTGGCGAAAGCAGAGAAGAGTGCCGACATTCTTGGGGGGCTTAGAAAAACCAAATCCTTCGGCCGCCCCAGCATCATGAGGTTCTCTGCAGCTCATACCGACGAGAACAATGAATTCGTGGTCTGATCATGCCTAAGGCTGACTGTGACCTCCTGACTTACTTGCAGAGAACTACACTTTGCGGAGCGGTGTTGCCTCAGTGTGCATCTCTTCGCTGTGCTTGCCTGCGTACTGCGAAGAAGCTGACACACAGTGATATCAAACCAAAGAACTTCTGAGCAGCCGAAGCCCATCAGTCTTCAATCGTGTTGCAGCAAGTCAATGTACTGCCTGTTATGGATGTCTGGAGTGCTGTCTGTGTGATTTACCATGGTTAGTGTTGCCGGGCCGTCAGCATGCCCAGGTCCCAAGATGAGTTCTGTGAGATGGCTTGGTGCCCAGGGCTGACTTGCAACGTGAGGTGTCATGTGCTGACTCAGAAGCAACATGTCTTGCGCTTGTACTCTATTGCTGAAACCTTTTGCTTATACCGGCTGCAAGAGTAGTCCCACCACCTGGCCATGAACTTTGCTGAGAGCAAGTCTATCGAGGAGGTTTGGGGGAGCACGGTGTGGCCGTGTAAAGTTCGAGAAGCTCAGTACAGAGTCATGCCTTGGTGCCACAGACTCTGTTGGCAGTGGCTGGCACAGCGACCGTGTCCGTGAAAGGGTTCTGTTGGCCGAAGACTACGTTGGCAACCTCACATGGTGCATCCTCTGAAGGGCCAGGATGTGACAGGCATCAATGGCTATAGTGGTCCAGACCTTGTTTTGCTCTCCTGGCAGTGACAAGGTGAAGGCTCCGAAGCTTTTGGTGGAACAACTTGAACCTTCCCGTTGTCACCATGTCCAAAACGAACTGCCTATAAAGGGTGAGTTCAGGAGGTATGGCTTGGACTTGTTGGTCCTGTCTTGCTGGAGAACCCTTCAACAAGCAAAATGTGCTGGGGATGTCCTCACGGATTTCCTCAGGCTGTTTCGGGCTGCGCGTTTCGATGTGAAGTACTTGGAGTCGGGGGAAGCCGGGATGATAGAACGAGCAAACGTGGGCGAAACAGCTGAAGCCACTCGTGAGTTTCTTCGGCCTGTCCGGGCTCAAGCTGATGCGGCTTGTGGCTGATGTCAAGAAACTGCTAGCCTCTGGTAAAGAAACCAATGAAGCAATCACCAACTACCTGGACAAAGGGCAAACTGATTTTTTTGCCCCGGTCTGTGGTCTATGGAACAACTGGGTACGGTCATCAAGCCCCAAGCGGCCACCGCTTTGGTGGATGGCTTGTTGCCTTCTATGACTGCAAGATTGCTGCCGTTGCAAAGATCTATCAGGAGCAGAACAGGTTGCAGAGGGTCACTTGGATCTATCATGTACGGTGTCGGGCCCTCAGTCCCCTGTCTCATAACGACTTCTTGCCTGGAGTGATGTGTTTTGATTGCGTTGTCGTGTATTTGTCTGTTGGGGTGGCTAAGAGGTGTATTTCCGGTTTGTTTCTGTGGCTTCAGAAAGAGCTTGCGCAGCATTTCAGATCGGATGCCTGCCTGAGTGTCTATGTCCCTATTGACTTTACAGCGTCTAGTTAATGTCAATCTTTCCTGGCCAGCTGATTGAAAGCAAATCTTGTTTGTTGCTTGTGCCATGTCCCTCTCGAAGTGATATGTCTGGCAGTGAGAGTAACCTGTCTGACAGCCCATCTACATCATGCTCTGCATCCATGACCTTGGCCTCCTGTGAAGTATCGACAAGTGATCTTGAACCCGAGAGCACCATCTCTGACAGCCAGATCGTTGCTAGGGAAATGTGCTGTTCTCTGAGGCGCCAACTTACAGCTGCTTGCAGCAGACATGTCAAAGACATTTTCAGGGGCACT